GCCGGGTATCAAAACAAACAGGTGTGTAAGGTCAGTGGTTCACAACAAAGAGAAAAAATTCAGTAATATAAACAATCACCAAAAGATACAAGAAATTCTCAATGCTGGTACCTATTGTGTTTTTTTTTTATCCACCAGATAAAAAAAAAAAGATAACTGGTAAATCGCAACGTTATTCGATTTAAATACAATTAGTTTTCAAGATTCACTATGTTCTGTAACACCAATTTTGTTCAGATTTTCAAAACAGTAGCACAGTCCACCAATAGATGCTTCGTAGAAAATTCAAAATTTTTGCTCAACTTTTAACACACGAAAACTATATTATAAAAACGGGAGCACTAAAACATGTACGTACACTGCTATTGCTTTTGCTATGCTATAAATAAATAATGACTTTATTATCCTTCAAAAAAAAACAAATACAAAAATTAAATTGAATAGCGGCGAAATCTAGCTTAGAGCTACTCATATCTAACCGCAAAACAAATAATTATCTACTAATTGTCTAGTACCAAAATAAAAAAAAAATACAAGTTTCTACAATATTATGTCTACACTCTTCACATTCATTCGCAAGATTCGACAATAAAACTTTTAACACTCTTTTTGAAACCCGTCACGGCAGAGCAAGAAGTCACTTTGAGAGGCAGGGAATTGTAAAATTTCACGGCATTGTAAGTAAAAGAACGCTGATACAAAGCAGAGTTGTGTTTTGGAATACTAAATTGATTACAGTGTCTAGTTGACCTTTCATGAGTATCAGACCTACGACTCAGCTTCTCAAACAGATATTCGGGCTGTTTCGTTGTGACAATTCTGAAAGTCAAAGTTGCCAAATGCACAGAAAATCTTTTTTGTAGGTTAAGCCATTTAGATTTATCAAAAAGAAGGGATACATGATCAAATTTCCTATGGCCGTATGAAAACTTTAAACATGAATTCTGCAATTTTTGTAAGCTACTTTTATCTTTACATGTTAAGGCTGGCTAATATACCACGTCACAATAACCCAGATTGGATAAAACCAGGGAATCACACAATCTAAGTTTTATGTCGGTCGAGAGAAAATCACGATGCATATAGAGAGTGCGTAGTTTGGTAAATCCTGCTCGCAAAAGTCCCGCAATATGCGAACCAAAACGCAACTGAGAGTCCAATAAGAGACCCAGATTTTTACAAGTGTTTGAAGGCACAAGACGTTGATCATTGATTTCGATAACAAAATTATTGTTTGAAGACAGGAGTTCACGGTGTTTACCAAATAACATGATTTGCGACTTGGCGCCATTCAGTATCAGGCCATGCGATTGAGAAACTTCATAAATTGTTTTCAGATCACAGTTAACCTGTTCCTCGGCACTTTTGAATTCAGAAATAGGAAACGAGTGGTATATTTGCATATCGTCGGCGTACTGATGAGATTTACAAAACTTTAAAAAACTAGCAAAGTCAGATGTGTACACAGAAAACAGCAAAGGACCAAGTATACTTCCCTGGGGTACACCCCTTGTCAGCACCACGGAGTCTGACCGACTATTGCCAACCACCACCCGCTGCTCTCTGCCCCTCAAGTAGTTCCTCATGAAAAGCAGCGACGACTTGTCGAGACCAAAGTACTCCAACTTAGTACATAAAATGTCGTGGTTCAGCGTGTGGAAAGCCTTGCTGTAATCCAAAAGCACAAGAGATGTGGTGCTCCCACCATCACACGCCCGAAAAATATCATCTGTTACTTTAAGCAGAGCAGTCGTAGTACTATGAAATGGACGAAACCCAGACTGTGTGACCGGCACGATTTTATTACCATTAAAATAATTGTTAAGTTGTTCGTTAACAACCCTTTCCAGTACCTTGGATATAGCAGGCAATATACTTATTGGACGAAACTGCATAATATGTGTGGGATTTGGAACCTTGTGAAGGGGTATGACGTTTGAACACTTCCAGACAGATGGATATTCTGAAGAACGAAGCGAAAAGTTAATGATATGTGTTATTTGGTTCGTCAAGCTAGGAACAACAAGAGAAAGCATTTTACTATCTATATCATCCACTCCCTTCGCATTTGTTTTAATGCTTAGCAACCTCCTCTCGACAAAATCAGAGTTAACTTCTGTAAATTTAAACTTATCTCGAACACCTGGATGCGTTTGATTCACGTAATTGTCAGAGATAAATTGATGATTTGTTACATCAGAAATCGGTACACTATCAATAAAGTAATTATTAAATGAAGAAGCAGTACCTATACTATCTACACAGACTCTTGGGGTTGTATTAATATTTAAATACTTCAGGGTACGCCAGAAACTCCTCGGATCAGCTTTAAACTTGTGTTGTAAAAAAGCACGTTTTTCATTTCTTACGGCAGTGGTTACAAAATTTCTTAAATTTTTATATTGTTGCCACAAAGTTTCAGTTTTATTTTTATTAAATTTCATTCGAGCTTTGTCACGCAGTCTCATAAGAAGTTTCAAATTATCCGTCAGCCATGGAGCCGGCGCCTTTGTAATTCGTGCAGTTTTTAATGGGGCATGAAAGTCGAAAATATCGCTAATCTTCCTATTGAAAATAAGTACTTTTTCATCAACACTATCACTCCTATAGAAAATATCCCAATCAATTCGCGCCAAATCTTCTACAAATAAATCATTATTAAAATTTGTATAATCCCGATAAGTACGAAAAGAAACTGGTGGCTTAGTCTTTTGAATTATCAGACTACATTGGACCACAGAGTGGTCAGAAACATCATCCACTGGAGTTACTGAGATGTTAGAAGCAAATTGTTCACGAGACGTCACCAACACATCAATTAGCGAAGAGGACGTATCTGTAACGCGTGTAGGAGAAGATATCAATTGAGTCAGTCCATATTTATTTAGGAAATTATTCATGCGTAATGTACCACTGTTATTTTTCAACAAATCGACATTAAAATCGCCCCCAAATAGAACACAGTCGTACTTTGGCAAAAAACAAACCAAGATATTTTCCAACTCGTCGATACAATCTGATAAATTAACCTGCGGAGGTCTATAGAGCGTCCCAAAACACAACTCCTTACCTCTGGTTTTGATGCTTATCCACAAATATTCAAGCTTACTTGACGAAGGAGGGGTGGCAAGTATTTTGTATTTAATAAAATTCTTGATATAGAAAGCAACACCTCCACCACGACCCTCTCGATCCTTTCTTACTATATTATAGTCATTTATATGTACAGCATTATCAGCAATGCCACCGTGAAGCCAGGTTTCAGAAAGTCCCAAAATATCGAGTTGCTCCGCCGCGACAAATTCCGCAAATGCGTCAAACCTAGAACACAAAGATCTAACATTTAAATGTGAAAAGTTCAGACAGTCGCTACTGTTAGCAGCCATACAAGCTATTTATGCGAAGCAATAATGCATGCAATCCATGAGCCAACAAAAAAAAAAAAATACATAAAATAAAAATAATAATAATAATAATAATTAATAATAAATCAAAGAATTAGGGTATAAACCTTAGCTTAACTAAAAATTATACGCCTTAAATATATTACGAGAAAAAAGGAAGCATCCTATCGATAAATCTATAAAGGTACGAAACCAAGTACATCTTCAAAATGAGTACCTATACCTACTTTATTCATATTATATTTATCGCTTCAATACAATAGAGACAAAAAAAAACTATGTAGTACAAGATATGAAATTAAGAGTATAGTCCTACCAAATCGATAAACATACGTGTAAAATAATTCAAATATGGTTTAGTGATATGACCTCCGTTTTCCTGTTTTTCTTCTGGTCCCAAAAAAATATCTTACCACCAGATGACCAGGCCTGGTTATTGCCATATTTCTTCTTAGCTGCTGCAAGAATCTCATAACGAGAGCGAGTAAGATCCTCGTATATCGAGTACGGGGAATTTTTTAATGCTTTCTTCGTCGATATTACTTCAGCCTTTTTTATATTTGTCACAAAATTAATTAGAACGGTACGTGGTCCCTTGGCGTCTTTGTCCTTCTTGCTACTTATACACAACAATGCACATGTTATAAAAAATGTTATAAACAAACAAAAATGCATAAAAATTAACAAAATAATAGGAACCAGTGGCGGCTCGTGGTATAACATATTGGGGGTGCACATAATTTGTAATTCATAATAAATGCCGGTTGCGTTTGTTTTGCTGGCGCATTTGGCCACTAATTTTTTAAATTAATACTTTACAGGTAGATTGTTAAAATTTGAAGAATGATAAAATTAAATTTAAAGTTGTTTGATATTAATTTGGGAGTGCACGTGCACATGTGCTCTTATGGAGGAACCGCCACTGATAGGAACTTGCATAAATTGAACTCTCAAAAACAAAATAATAATTAATCCACTAACCTGTACGTTCCTTACACACACACACTAATAACAAATTTGATTGAACAATTAATTTTAATGCAAAACAGGAATGAAAATTGAAAAATGAATAATTACAGACGCGCGATACGCATCTAAGGGACGGCCAGCTTGGCGCTTGTTCTCCATTCTGAAGCCTAATCGTCTATTCCCTTCTATCCTCCCGTTCGGATGGTACCCTCGTTGTCCCCTAAACCTAAACTCTGTGGCGCAGTACATGGTTGCAACATTTAATTTTATTCAGTAAACGTTTTTTTAAAAAGTTGAGATTTGAAGAAATAATATATATATTTTAAATAGTTGGTTCTTCTCAATATTCTTACACATATTTCCTTTAATTTAATTTCATTTCATAGTTGCTGTAAGGAAGAACCCTCTTTCCCGTAACACAACTGAACAGGAGGCTCATCAAGTGATCAAATTTTTTTAAAGAAATGCATGTGATCGGGATGGGGGCATGGGAAAAAGGACGACATAATCATGTTTGTTAATAATAATCATAATCATGTATTCAGTATTCAGCAAACACAATAAACGATTCAATTTGGTATTGTGTATTTATTTATGCAGCACTCCAAATGTACATTTATACAGCACTTCAAATGCACATTTATGCAGCACCTTAAAAGTGCTTCTTGGCTGTGTGAAACAACTTTAATTATGAAGTGCATCACCACTGTTTTTCAGGCACCGTTGAAGCACTATTATGAGGCATTTTTACAGTACTATTTAAGCACTTCCTTTCTTCACGCCAGGGCTTATGCTTTTAAAGTAGTGCCAATTTTATGACGGCCGGGTGGTAATTTCGAAAGCGGCGGAGTGGTTTTTGCTATTACTTCTCGGGCATTCTAATGTGAAAATGCATTACAGTTAAAGCACTTCTCCCATACTTTTGTGTTATCTGGGTGATATTTACTTCTAGCATAGGTTGTCTTAAAAAAGCATTTGAAACCTAAAAAATAACTCAAAATGATGCAAGAAAACATTAAAAATAAAACAATTTATTAAGAATTTAAAAACAAAAATAAATGCCGAAAATTTTCACCAAATCAAATTTAAAATTATGTCGCCTTTTTTCTGGCTATGGATCTTGGAACTCTTCGTTCCGACTGCATTTGGTCAGCCTTCTCTTGATCAGAAACCGTGTGAGATCGCATCATTTTCACGGGAGAAGGAAAAGGATTCGACAATTTTGAAACTTTCAAAGGCAGCACCAAATTTTTGTAAGTAGACGAAGCTTCGAATTGCCTGTAACCAGCCGACGGCGGTGGCAATTCGATTTTTTGGTCTTTATTGTGCTCTGTCGGGACACGATTCTCGATGGAGTGATCAAAATTTTCCAATTTGGATGATTGATCGGTAGATTGCGATGTTTTCGGAAAATTGTATTTTTTTGTGCTCGATCCGCTTCTATCCCTGCAAACGTTGTACCTTATAGCCGGAATCTCGGAGTTCTCCTCCTTTTCCTCGACTCCCAAATGCTGACCCATTTCTAATTGCTCCAACTGTTTGTTACTGAAGAACCTCGGGCCGAATTTGTACACTGGGATCTGTTTCGTGGGTGCCAGATAACGGGCCATGATTTCAAGTTGGGTATGGAAAACTGGGAAATGATACGAGTTGAAAGAAAAAAAGAGTAAAATAAAAGTGACAATTTTGCTTGTTTGATTTTTGACAAGGCACTGGTATTTTACTTGTTTGTACTTTTTTTTTTTGGCGAGTTGTTACCTATATCATCTATAAACAGGCAGATCTTGGTTTTTACCAGAAAGCCGCATACCTTCGAGTGTTGTTGTTGGGCATTCCAGATTTTCTTCGGAGTAGGTTGATATGACTGCGGGATTTGGATCACTTCATTTTGCGATATTTGAAATTATAAACGAGTGAAGAAAACTTTAAAAAAATTGAGCAGCTTATAGTAGGTATTATAAATTTGTGAAAGCTGAGGAAATTGGACGCAATCCTGCAACACCGCCTGAAGACTGCAAACGCAACACCAGCAGAAGCGAATTATGTAGACAAGAATCTGCCAAACAAATTCTTGTAGTAGTGCTAGTTTCGCGTTTGTGTTCCTGAATAAAGGTAAACTAATTTTGGAAGAGTGAAGTTTTCGTCTATGGTGGAAACCAGATAACAGTCTGCCGAAATAGAAGATCCAATATACCTACGCTTTTTTGAAACGTACTACGGACGAGAATAAAAACAACGAACAGGACCGGTTTCACAACATTCTGCAAGACCAAAAAGGTAGCTGGGTGACTAAAAGAATAGAGAAAATCCATGCACCAAGCAATAAGATTATAGAAAAAAGTATATCTGGCGAAAATTACCACAAAAGCAGGAATTTTTCGAAAGTTGGAGGTACTTTAGAGGTACCTGTAAGAAGATTAATAGTAAATTACTTATTAGAAACTTTACTTTATTACTCATCAAGTTCTGACATCTTTCTCTAGTTACTTCCCCTATCTATAATATCTACTAGTGCATTCTTCTTTCCTTACAAACATTTTATTAACTATGACAAAAGAATACCTAATAGAAATTATTTTACAGGAAAACATTTTAAATATTGTCACAATAAGCTAAACGTCCGCCAGGCTGTCAAGAATCGATCGCGGAAATACTAGAATCTAGCGAATTATTCTACTTTAATCTGGAAAATTAGATTATCGTGTGTATTCTAGATTTCACAGGAATAGATTTAGGGATATATAAGAAGGCCGGCATTGGTTTGTAAGTTAGTTTTCAGTTCGACTGTGATACGATTTAAATAGTGATTGTAAAGAGTTCAATTGTTGAGTTAGTAAAGTAATTAGTGTCGGAGTGTTTTGTTAAGTGGAATAAATTATTGCTGTGTTAATTGGACTTTGATTTTTGGAATAAACGAAACGAACGACGAACCCAAGATTTCTGTCAGGCAACCCAAAGCCGTAACAATATCTTCTATTTCTTCTATTAGTATATTTGTCCATTAATCGTTGTAACCTTATATAATCGCCCTTCTTCTTCAACGTATGCTTCTTCTTGATTACCTGAAATCCGCACTCTCTGCCCCGCCATTTCTCGATACTTCCATGTTTCCCAGTGGAAAAGATTGATTCTTTTTCTTTTCTTATTTTGTTGGGGCGTCTTCGGTTTCTTGTCGAACCGTTGTTCCCTAGCTATATTTTGATTAGCTACTTGTCTTAAGCAAGTTTTCATAGGCTTTACCTACAGTAGTTACTTCATCCACCAGCAATTGATCCAACTGTCCTCTCGGCTTATAATCAAACATTAGTTCACTAGGCCACTAGGCGTTTTTCTAGTTGTCTCCTAGACTAAATTATTTCTCGCAAATTGGATTTTTTCAACTGATTCATCCCATGTGTTTTCTTCTAGTGGTGTCGTCAAAAGGGAACTCATTAGACTACGATTAAGTCTCTCAACTTGGCCGTTCGCTCTCGGTGTAGCAACTGCGTTCAGTATGTGTTTGATGTCCAGTCTTTTTCAGAATGCTTCATAACATTTAGAAGTAAAAGATAACCCTCTGTCAGATATAATACATGCTGGCACACCATAAACCGTAAAAATGTGATATAAAAACTGTAAAACGTCTCTATAGACTTGGTAGATTTGACTGCTTTCAAGAACACAAATTTGGTTAAAGCGTCTGAGGGCGATTATGTAAATATTGCCCTTTTCCGTCTAGGCCAATCGCCCCAAATGGTCAATATGAGCAGTATGTAAAGGGATAAGTATTTTTTCTATTGAATTGAGATATCCTTCTCTTTTCCCTGATGGCTTTTTACATTTTCACTATACAGAGTGGAAAATTGAAAAGGATCCACCTGGATTTTCTCAAAAATTATCAGGAAATTAAAAAAACGCCGAAACACGTCGATTTTGCTTGCACGGGGGACACTTTTTGGCTATTTCAAAATTTTCCTAGATTGCACCCCCTTACCGGGGTGAGTTGCACCCTCAAAAGTTGAATAGGAAAACTGGGTCGAGTGGTACCTTGTTTAAGAGGTATTTGAGATGACTTTACAGATCTGTAATTTATTTCGAAATCTGACTCCTAGTTTTCAAGATCGCCTCGGAAGTTGCCATGGAGCGAAAAGAGAACGTGTTTTCCGTAAAAAAATTAAAAGTGAGTCATGTTTGAAAGGTTTTTCAAAGGGTTCAAACTGACAAAAAAACAGAGGTTCAAAATAAACAAAATTGACGAATTTTTTCTTGTAAAAATGTACGAAAAACACGTTCTCTTTTCGCCCCATGGCAACTTCCGAGGCGAATATCTTAAAAACCAGTAGTCAGATTTCGAAAAAAATTACAGATCTGAAAAGTCATCTCAAATACCTCTCAAACAAGGTACCACTCGACCCAGTTTCCCTATTCAACTTTTGAGGGTGCAACTCACCCCGATAAGGGGGTGCAATCTAGAAAAATTTTGAAATAGCCAAAAAGTGTACCCCTTGCAGACAAAATCGACATGTTTCGGCGTTTTTTTATTTTCCTGATAATTTTCGAGAAAATCCAGGTGGATCCTTTTTAATTTTCCACTCTGTATAAGCAAGGTATACAACAAGCAACATACTAAGTACCAGTGGCGGCTCATCAGAGGAGGCAGGGGAGGCTAAGCCTCCCCCAAAAAATTGAAAATTCAATCTCAGTTTTTTATTCTTGATTTCTAATTAAAATAATAATTCACAAATTACACTTTTCAAATTTCGATATTTCAATGTAATTTAGAAAAATCTGACATTATTTCAATCAATCCCGCGCTTGCACGACAAAAATCTGTGAATCTGGGTTACTCAGTAATACGAGCCCGAAGGGCTAAAGTTATACGCGAGCTTAAAGGGCCAGAGTAATATGCGAGCCCGAAGGGCCGGAGTTATACGCGAGCCCGAAGGGCTAGAGTTATTTTAATCACGGGGCCCCCCGTAATTCTATTGGTCAGCGGATAATTTAGAGCCAATCAAAAATCGGAAATATTCAAAATAAAATCATTAACATTCCTGAAAAATATTTCCTTTAAAATTCCCAAATATTTTTTGGAATCCCCAAAATTCTGTTAAAGTAACAGAATTTCATAATTTAGTGGAATTTCCAGGAATTTCGGTAGAATAATTATGTTATTCTGAAAAAGGAATTAGATGTGAAATTTTTGCGGAGTTCCCATAGAATTCACTTTAAATTTTAATTCATCTTGAATTATTTGAAATTTCAGTGAAATTCTAATCGAATTACACGAAATCCTAAATGAATCACATGGAGGAATTTTAAACAATTATATGAAATTACACCGAAATTCCCAACATGAAATTTCAGTTCTTACTGAATTTTAGTAATGCCGAAGAATTTCCAGTTAAAAACATGGAATTTCGGTGATATTCCGAAAAAATCCCATGTATGACATGAAATTTCAATATATTTCGGTGAATTTTTAAGAAATTACTTGAAGCTTCATTAATATTCCCAGAAATTCCTGACAATTAAAAGAGAATTTCAGTGAAATTCCGAAAAATTCTTATGATAATAAATTAAATTTTGAAAAATTTCTTGAAGTTTCATTGGACTTTCGAGAAATTTTCGGCTATGAACGTGGATATTCTCATAAAATTTCAGTAAATTCCGAGGAATTTTTAAGAAATTACATGAAATGTCAATGAAATTCCGAAGAATTTTATGAAAATTTTATGGAATTCCAGAATTTCAGTGGTAAAATTTTGGGGAATTTTAGTAAAGTTAAAAAAGAAATATGGAATTTTGAAATTGAAATCTTAGTGGAATACCGAGGAATTTCATGAAATCCTATACTGTAATTCCGAAAAAAATTTGTCCAAGAATTCCATAAAATCTTTGAAATGTTAAGATTTCTATGGAATTACTTAAAATTTTCGCGGAATTCCCATGGAATTACTTAAAATTTTAGTGAAATTCCAAAGAATTTTGATGAAATCTTCGAGGGGTTAATCACTCCCCGAAATCGTGTCACAAATTTGTCCGAAATTCACGAAATCACTCCGAAATCCCTCCGGAATCTTTCAGAAGTCTTTCCGTAAACCCAAAAATCCATTGGCTCAAAATTCATAAATCGGTCAACGCGGCCATTTTTCAGTTTATACTAATACACTTTTGAATATACTTATAAGATAAGTAACAGTCTGAAATCAAATTAAAATCTTTGCGAAATCACCTGAAATTCTCCGAAATCTGCCGAAATCCTTCGAATTTACCCGAAATCCTTCGAAATCACCCGAAACCCCTTAAAATCGCTCTAAATCTGAAATCTTGTTACAGTGAATAATCCTTTGAAATCTCTCCGAAATACTATTTTTTACTGGAAAAATTTGAAATTTTGGGAAAATGAGCCTTTAACCTTTTTTCTCACATGCAAAAAGTTTCAAAATTTTTTCCTCGCTAGCTTTTCAGGAAAACTTTAAAATGTGTGAGACTGTATTTTCAATTAATTTATTTATTGGACTTATTTGAGGTTGATTTCCAAGATTCTTCATGTTGCCATTTTCCACTAGAAAAATTTGAAATTTTGGGGAAATAAGCCTCTGACTTTCCTCTTTACATGCAAAAAGTTTCGAAATTTTCTCTTAATTAGTTTTCCCTCGAGTTTTCCAGGAAAACTTTGAATTGCGTGAGACTGTATTAACAATTATTTCAGCTTTTGTAAGTTGATTTCCAAGATTCCTTATGTTGCTATTTCCCAATGGAAAATTTTGAAATTATGGGAAAATGAGTC